TATCTGTCAAGGAATATATGACTTTGGGGACATTTATAATTGTGGACACAGTCGCTTTAACTATCTTCATGATTTGACTAGTTATCTTCCAGAATTCACAGGATCCACTTTGTTTCTTTTTAAACTTGGTCTGGCCTGCTTATGCGTAGCTGCACTTGGCATTTTCTAGAACATTTTGCAATGTTTGTGGGTAGTTCTGAATGCAGGGAGGGCTGAACTATATTTCTCCTTGTGACAGTTATTGAAGTAGTGGTTTCAGTGAGTTATGGCCACAGTGAAATCAGGGGGGAGCCAGAGTTGACAGTTTGGTTTTTACTGGAATTTTTTTTGAGGGGTATAAAACTCTCCATTTCAGAAAGGATCTAATCAGTAACAAGGGCAGCAGTTTTAGAGGCAACAAGCTTGAAGAAGGTTGGGAGGGGAGATTCCATCTTGTAGCATCAAAAGCTGTCCTAGTATGCCTTAACATAGTGAAAAATCATTCTGTGGAACAATGCATCTGGGGATGCCTTCAATTTAGCATCACTCTGGACACTGATTAGGGAATGATTTGATGTGCCTAGTGGAGGTAAAAACTTTGCTAAGCATTTATCAGGGCAGGAGGTTTGGAAGTGGTCAAGGACTGATGTCCTGTCATGTCCAGGAGCCATGCAGGTCCTCAGATGATCTGGATTAGTTCATAGGTAACAGAAAAGTCTCTGCAATATCAGCCTTCAACATCAGTTTTCTTGGAGTGGGCTAGCCATTCTTTATGGTGGATATTAAAGTCGCTGCAGTTATAGAGGCTGGCCAAGAGGAAGTGAGTGAGGATATTATCAATCTTCTCAGATATTCTGTTAAAGATTACCGTCCCCTCATTCTGAGAGTGGTAGAGAGCAAAGACGAATGTGGTACTATGGATAAGTGCCAAAGGGAAACACATATATAGGGGATCAGGTTCGTTATTTTTTGCATCCATGCTACAGGGAAACTTGTCCTTAATGTAGGCTCTGAGTCTGTAGCCGTGATGATTTAGGTGGTCATGTTTGGCTATAAGACATGAATAACCCAGGACTGTTAGCTCCCCTAGTCTGCTTGAAGCATTGATACTGGTTTCAGAAACATCAGGAGGTCTGGTTTAGTTTGAAGAAGATGATGTTCTACTTCTGGAAAGTTGGAATGTAGTCCCCTTACACTAGTGTAGGAGATTGTATGCAAGGGGTCTACTTTGTTTTTTTGTGTTGGGTTTGCTAATTTTGTTCATTTGTATTTTGATTGGTTTCAAGTGTCCATTGGTTGGTGAAAGACTAGTCGGCAGAAAGACAAAGTCACCTGTACTATTTGCAGGTATAAATAACTTGGAGAGGATCGTCCAGATATACAGTCGTAGCAGTGCCCTTCATCATGGCATTGAGAGGCGCCACCAGAAACTAATGCACAGTTCAGAAACCATTCAAAAAAGCCCTGGTATTAAACACCTACTAATAGGATAGCTCCGTCAGAGTTAGTTGAAGGTTCAGATCCCTGACTACCAGGTGGATAACACCAAAACCTAGAAAATATCTACCTCTTAATGAAGGGGTAATCATGAAAGAAAATGATGCTCCAAATGAACATTTCACATCTGCACAGAAGTCAAAGTAACAGAACTCCTCCTTGGGTCATTGTACCAGTTCAAGACCTCAAGTCAACAAGACATGCTCATGTACTTGAGGACTAAGTGACCTATTGGGAGAAGTAGAGTAATGAGGATTGCTTGGGGATGCATGTGCATCCCCTACACCCATTTGAATTAGTATAGTAGGGTGGGGGCTTGCAATAGGCAAGTTATCTATTCAAGAGAAAAAAAAATTTAGGCTTACAAAGGGGAAGCATTATAGATCAGAGGGAGAGTTATAGACAGGGAGTGTAAAGCAGCTATAAAGTTTTAACTTACTATAATTCCAAATCTCAACTTTTTGGGAAAGTCTTATGATCCAATAAACCATACTAGAAAACTTCCATTAAATGTATGTAAATTATGCGATGTTAGCATACACACACACACACATATATATATATATATATATATATATATATATATATAAACACACATATATATACACCTACTATAGCAAATATTTAAAGAAGGTTTAAAACAAAGAGAGAGAAAGAAAATACAAAGAAATAAGTTAAATGCACCTAGTAAAGTAAAAGATAAAAAAATATATATATATAGGGTGATGGTGTATATATTTAGTGTATGCTGTTATTTAAAATGTATATATATATTGTTATAGTGGAACACACTTATTCTATAGTTAATAGACTCTCCCACCTATAATAAGTAGGAGTAGTAAGAGTAAAGAGGGAGTCGCTAAGTCGTGCAATGAGTTGGTCAGTCAGTCGATGCCGGACAACCATTAGTCGGATACTAAAATATCAGCAACCACAATTAGATTACTGCGTCATACCTATTATATGAAGTTCCTAACGTTTTGTACATCAAACCTATTTTAGGACTGACTTAGTACAAATACAAGGCTCCACTGTGAAATCACTCCATAACATATATATATATATGTGCTGTTATCTAAGAGTGTATATATATGTTTTATATATATATAACATACATATACACTCTGAGATAACAGCAAAACCTGAATATGTATGCACACATGCAAAATATGTATATACATATATATGTAGTCATATATTATTGTATGCATACATATTGCCATATACTGTCTCTCCTAATGTACATTTTTAGAAGCATATTTTCAATAATCTGAGAGCATATATACATATATTTATAGATAGGCTTAACATCCTTGTTTATAAATTGTCTTTATTATATATCCCACATGGGTAAAAATATAGGATATGTCTGACATGATATGACAGGCATTTTGAAAATTTTTTGAAAATCATATAACTGTGAAACCGGTAAAGTTACTCTAAATAAATATTCTTAAAAATTCCAGTTGCATTATCAACTTCTTTTCCAATATATATATATATATATATATATATATATATGTAACAGTTTTTTTCCTGTCAAGGTTAGATTTGTCCAGAAAATGGTTATATAAAAGAGTGCTCAATACACAATGTAAAAAAGAAAAAACAAATCTGCAGAGCTATTAAATATGAGTTTAATATTAACCACCATTACCTGAAGAAACCTTACCAATGGAAACCATTGTCACTTGAGTGGTTAGTATTCCTTGACTCTTATATATATATATATATATATATATCAATGTATATAGGATATGCTAAGCATACATAAAAGGATATATGTATTTTAATATTATTTAATAGCAATTCCCATGAAAATTACATGGTTTTCGAAAGTTTTGAATTTTCTTAATCTAATGATGGAATACCTTGCAGCTTCTCCATCGACAAAATACCCATGGAAATTCCACTAAGGCATTGTGAAATATTTGAATTTAACTACATCAACAAAATACTGCAGGAACATAGTTATAAACACTGGTTATTATTTTAAAAAATAGGAGGATGAAACAAAAAGATTCAAACTCTAACACAGTTTTACTGTATATTTGCATATATTTAGAAAACTTTATTTCAAATAAAAAAAAACAAAGCTTTATTCCCAATGCTTGACTTTCACAAGGTAAATTTTTAATATGTATAAATATAAAATAAAATATATACAAAATTAATACCAGTCTGAAATCTTTCTTATTATTATGTATACCTTCTTTTCCTCACTAAGACCAGACAGTATTTCTCATATATAGGCTTACAACCATATCACAATGAAACACTATTTCTCATATGATTACAGTAGTTAAGTAACATCAAGCCTGATCAGTACCAAGATGGGTGACCACTTTGGAATACTCTAAGCTAGAATGTAAAGTTGGTGTAATGGATAACAGCTTGGAATTGGTAATCAGAAAGTTTAGTTCCAATTCCAGTTGGTTTTGTAATATTCACTTACAAGCAAATACTCTTGGGAAAGGCATGAATCCACTTCTTCTCCCGACCCCTAACTATAAGTTAGCTTGTAGGACTTGTATCAGTAAATCATTATTATCTCAAAAAAATCTTCCAATCTAAAAATATTCTCTGGCTTTAAATAAACTCTAAAAGGTTGATAAGCCATAAAAAACAAAGCAATCATGTTTCTGATATCACTTTTTCTTCTCTTTCCTATCAGTCAATTGAGAATGGTCCATTATTTATCTGGAACAATGATAGGGTGTAATAGACATGCAAAATCACAGAGTTATAATATGAAAATCAAAAAGACAGTTTGTGACATAAGCATGGAATACCTATATGGATTTCACATAGGACACCTCGAGGCGGTGTAATGGTTAACAAGCTTGTCTCACTAGAACAGTTATTACTGAGTAGTGAGCTTGATCTTCACTGGATGCCTCATAGTTTTGGCCTTGTGCCACATCTAAGCTACACTTAGAAAATCACTATATGGATTTCACATTTGTACTACATATTATAACCCAATAATATTTACTTCTGTCTTATATTAAGAAATGGACAAAGTCCGACAATTTATTTATTAAAGACATTTTTATGTTTAACGTTCTTTTTTATAGATACAAGTATTTAAGTAAATGCTCTGTTTATAATAAACAGTATTAAATAATTTTCTATGAAAATTTCTCGGTCATTTAGGCCGGTAAATGTTATTTAATACTGTTTATTATAAACAGAGCATTTACTTAAATATTTGTATCTATAAAAAAGAACATTAAACATAAAAATGTCTTTAATAAATTGCTTCTGTCTGTAAATATATGTATCTAGAAGTGTAGATTGACTTTTAAATATTGCAGGTACTAAAGCTTAACTTTAGACATACATGCATATGTGTATGGGTATGTTTTCACTGTCCTCTTTAAAGAAGTTGCCATACATACTGAAATCATGGTGTTTTTTTTTTAAATCCATGCATTGCAAGAAGGAAAAAGTTTGTAATACATCAGATTCTTGCTTTGTTGGTATTACGCAGACTTGTTAGCCTTTCCTCATATATAGGTTTACAGCTATAACATGTTGAAACACCAGTTCTCATGTGATCACCAAAATTAAGCATCGTTGAGCCTGGTCAGTACCTAGATGGGTGACTGCTTGGTTATACAAGGTGCTGTAAGCTTGGGTGTATGGATGGTGTAATGGATAACAGCTCGGAATTGTAAATCGGTGAGCCGAGTTCCAATTCCAGTTGGATTAGTTATTTTCACTTATACGCAAATACCCTTCTTCTCCCCCTGTTATGGGTTAATTAGTAGGACTTTTATCAGTAATTCATTATTATCTCCAAAAATGTATTCTTTTTCAAATACAAATATTTTCTAGCTTTAAATAACCTGTAAAAAGGTTGATAAGCCGTAAAAAACAAATCAATCATCCTATATATATATGTGAATGTATGTATATATATATATATATATATATATATATATATATATATATATTGGACATGTGGCCAAATGGTTAGAACATTCCCTCTCTTACCATGAGACCCAGGTTCGAATCTCACCATGGTTGATTTGTCAGGAAGGAGCCTTCTTGATGCTATCAGACTAGATTGAGGTCAATCCCAACATTTGGAAAGTACCTGAAAACCATACCACAGGTTGACCCAAGCCTTGTGAGTAAAACTGAGTAGATGGAACACTTGGAGCTGCCAATAGCTGTGCTAGCACAAAGTCACAAGTCATCGTGACTGAGGGGTTGAGTGTACTAGTGTTGTTCAGATTGTTGCTCATTCTAGATAACACACTCTCCCCCAGAAACAGTAACTAAGGTTTGCTCAGCAGAGTTGCAGTATAAACCACAGGTTGGCTCTGTGGGTGCTGAGCAAACACAAATGTACCTGAGCAAGAGTCTGTAATTGGGATTGACTGGCTAAGTAGACGGGTATCCATATCCTTGAATACGAATGGCCAGCTATTATTATTATTATTATTATTATTATTATTATATATATATATATATATATATATATATATAATAAAAAAATAATAATAAGTTTTAAAAAATAAATGAATAAATAACAAAACTGCATTCTTTTTGTGCAGCTGTATTCCCAATAACCATTACACATTAGACTATTTCAAACTTCGAGCTTTCCAAAGAATATCAAGATATAGACAAGGGAATTCAGACTACCACACAGACACTACATTGGTTCTTTAAAATGACTGAAATATTCAAAATTACTTAAACAAAACAATAAGACAGTATGGACTGTGGAGAGTTTATTCACAATTTCAAACACAATACTCAACACCTTCTGTGAAAATTAGAAAAATCCAATAAAAAACAGACAGGCCTGGTCAGTTCTTTTTAAACAAACTTGTTTGGATAAATACTTTCTGCATAAAAATATCTTTCATATATTCCAACAGCTTCTTCTCTTGCACTTCCTGACAGTGGAAATCCCTACCTTTTACTTGCTTCCCTAACAATAATCTTCAAAAATTTAAATGTGATGTCAATAAACATTTTCTGAGGCCTTGATTTTGACCCCTGTTCTTTTAATCCTTTCCTCAATCCACCATTTTTCTATTGCTTTCACTCACTGTAACCCCTTGCATGCTAGTGGCACTCCCACCTTGCTTGGGGTGTAATGCTTATAAGATATATATATATATATATATATATATATATATATATATATTATAATTAAAATTAAAAAAACAAATAAAAGTTTGTCACATAGCTGATTGGTGTTACCTTCAGCATCCTGACTACAGAATTTCATAGACAGACACTCCAGCAATCATTCTGTTTGTATATATATATATATATATATATATATATATATATATATAAGAAATATAGTTTTTAAGGTGTGCTATATTTATAGGATTTCTCCAATAAATATAGCACACCTGAAAACTATATTTCAATATGTGCTCAGTATCAGAGATAGAGCATATGCAAATATAAATATAAAAGTGAACATTGAAGTCAACACTCAGAGGCGACAGGCTGTTTCATGCTAGATGCAATCATCATTGAGCCTGACAATTGTGTCTAGCATGAAACAACCTGTCACCTCTGAGATTTGACTTCAATGTTCACTTTTATATATATATATATATATAAAAGTTTTAAGATTTTCCACATTTTCAATTGTTTGTATCTATACACAGTGGTCTGATGATTGCTTAAAGTTTGAAACTGTAAGTAACCATGGAATGTTGATTTCTCTGTTCACACTGTTTTTATATTAGGTTGGTGCAAAAATAATGACATAATAATGTCGTTTTTTCACGTATTTTTTAAGGTCAAAAAATGACATTATTACGTCATTATTTTTGCACTAACCTAATATCTATACATAGATGCATACATGGACATATTTTCACTTATGTGTAAATAGGCATAAATACTTCTTTTTCTAAGATGATTAAAATAAGCAGTATAATGAATAATGTAAATTTTGAAATTAATGTATGAATATATACAAACGCATATAATATATACAGTGAGGAAAAAAATAAATATACATACACGGTGAAAATTTTTTTAATTCACATAGTTATAACTTATGAAAAAAAATATTTCTGCACCATTGCATAATGCTGCAATATCCAAAAAACAATTAGAAAACATTGTTATAAACAAAATTATATGTTATAAAATTTCAAGGTGAAAAAAGTATTCATACAAAATATGTCTTTAATATCAAAAGGTTTAAATTACCTTTATTTATATAATTCTTTGTAAGATTTTGATAGATTCTTCCAATTATTTTATGACCAGAACAAGATAGAACATTCTGCAATTCATTTCTTATATAAGGTTATCTCTGCACAAAAATCTCACACACAATAATTATCATCATGGGGAAAGGCAAGGAACTATCAAATTCACAAAAAGAATTGATCATCAAACATTGGAAGGAAGGAAAAACTATAGGAAAGTAGTAGATATTCTGAATATACCATTTTATACTATTATTTCCATTATTGCTAAGTAAAAAAAAGGTGAAAACTGTTGAGAACAAATTGAGATCTGGTGCACCACACAAGATTTCTCCCAGATCAATGAGAAGAATTCAGTACAAAATTCAAGAAAATCCAATGACTACTCAGAGAGAAATACAAGAATTAAAAGCATTAGGTATTATTATTATGAAGCAAACAATAAGCAATGATCTTCATAGAAGTCAACTAAGAAAAACTTCACTACTATTGAAGAAACATAGGGATGCCTGGTTAAAATTTGTTCATGAGCATAACAATAAACCTGAATAATTTTGGCAGAGTGTTTTATGGGCAGATGAATCAAAAATTTACCCTTTTGGCTGTAATTCAAGGATTCACATTTGGAGGAAAGACGACACAGCTTTTGCACTGAAGAACACAGTCCCAATGGTGAAATTTGATGGTGATCATATCATATAGCAGCATTATGCCATGGTATACAAATATCATATGTATTTTAAAATTCTTTTATAAAATCTATGTTAAATAAAAAAAATTCATGGTGTATGAATATTTCTTTTGCCACACTGTATATCATAATGGCTGGCTAACTATTTTTGAGTATGCAGTCTGCTAGAGTGGTTAGCTAATCCCTGTTGCATACACCTGCTCAGATACAACAGTTCAACAACCACTGAGCTAACCTGTTGTTTATAATGTAACTCTGTTGAGCAGACCTTATTTGCAATCTCTAGTAAAGCATATATAATCTGGCATGATCAACATTACACTCAAATCTTCTGTCACAATGTGTTCTGACTTTGTGCTAACACAATCATCACTGGCTTCTGAAAAGTTTTGCCTCTTTAACTTCACTAATGAGGTTTGGGTGAACACTTTGACTGGTTTTCAGGAATTTTACAATGGATTGCCTCCTCAGTCTGGTAACATTAAAAAGTCACCACCTGACAGACACAATTGAGATTCAAAACTGGGTCTTGTGGTTGGAATATGAACATTCTAAATCCTCACTATGCACCCATATATATATATATATATATATATATATATATATATATATATATATATCCAGGTAGAATGAGAACAAATGGATTATAAATCCATTGTATGTAAAATTTAATTTAAAAGAGGGCTCAATACAGAGTATAGCTAAATATTATTATTTATTGGTGGCCCCTAAACCAATCAGGTAGAAAATTTTAAATATCTGGAGAAGAGGTGGATTTATAGCATTTCTCCAAGGTTATTTGCATGTAATTAAATAAAAAGAACCCCAAGTGGAATTAGAATTTGGCTCTCCAAATTCAAATTCTGAGCCATTTTCCATTAGTATTTCCAAGCAATCACCCATCTAGTTTCTGACCAGGCTCAACATTGCTTAACTTTGGTGATCATAATGAGAACCAGTGTTTCAACATGATATGGCTATAAGGATAAAGAATAAAATGAATGTTCATGTTAGATCCCATATTTTTTCAGAGAGGAAGAAAACACAAGCAGAACTGAGCTTTTTTTTTATTATTCTGTCAATACTTAAATGCAAAATGTTCACTGCACAAATATTATCATTATCATAAACTGTAAAGAACTTAAACCTATATTTATACACCTACTTTTACATGCGAACACACATATGTACTATGACTCACCTCAAATGATGCAATAACAGACTTTGTACTCAATGTCACATCAAGACTTCCAAGATACCAGGTGCATCAGAAGGTTGACCTGAAAGATGACCTCCTAGCAATCAGGTACAGTTCCTTGCCTCACAAGATGTCAGTGGCTGCTCCTCAGAGGTAAACAGATGGTTGAACAATCTGCCCTGAGTATGAGACAAACTGGATGCCAAGTAGATATATGTGTCCAGTCAAGAAGGAAAAAAGAGCGTAGAGTCCTTTATATTCTCACAAGAATGTAGAACCCACGTTTGGAGAAAACTCCAGAACCACACACTCAGCAGCCAACAATAACTGACAAAGTCTAGAATTAAAAGAATAAGAATGTTATGTATGAGATATATAGTCTCATGTTCTTATTGATTGGTACAAATGATAAGGTCACATGTATAAGTTGATGCAAACATCTCCGGTTTGATTCATAATGAAAACTTTTATTTATATGAATTTACAGTATCATTATTCTGCCACAAAAGTAGTATTTTCACTGACTTTTATGCACTTATTTCACCT